CGTGTATGACAATAAAGTATTTGTACATTCCTGTTCACAGAATTCTACACCATCATCTCTGTCACGACCTTCGACACATTCGTCATAATCTAGGTATAATACAGACAGCATAGACGTAACACGAAAGTAATAATAATATAGTAAAGATGAACAACCCTGTTTTTTTTTTTAAAGGACTTTTTTATAATTCTAATTATCAAATGAATGCAAATACATATTACAAGAAATATTTACTTTATTCTAGCCTACAATAAGTTGGACTAGGCACACAATGTTATGGTACCAATTTATTTTTATTACAATTAATCAATAGATTGTTTTTTGTTTAAACACAAAATGAAAAGAACATTCACCGTAGCACTTGAATCCATTTCCAAGCAAACCATTCGGACAGCTTCCACATGTTACATTTGCCAATGGTGCTACTTGGTCGGTACATGACACACTCGGATAACATGGATCGTCTAAACATGCGTCGTAATCTTCACTACAATCGATGCCCGTCCATGCAGCTGGACAATCACACTCTGACACCTTAACATAAAAATGATGGCCATTTACAAACTTAATTAAAATATCCTCTTTAAATTGCGTTACATGATTGTCTAGTATCATAAAAATCATTTTCGAAATTAACTTGCCCATTTTGAAGTAACATAAAACTTATTAACCTGCACTTAGAAATTAATGTATTAAAAATTTTTTTACCCATAATTTTACCTCGAAAATGATATTAGCACTTCCAGTCACTGGAATTAGTTTTATTATTTTTATCACTATCCAGTATAAAAATCAGTGTAGACATTTTTTAAAATTCAATAATTTCTATGCTCAAGTTAATAACTTGTATGTTACTGCGAATTTGTTTTTGTCCTTTTCTGAGGAAAATACATTTTTAATGTATAAATTTTATGAATAATTGATATGTGTGATGTATAAATGATATGTGTGCATCAAAATTCAGAAGTTGATAAGCAACAAGGTAAACACATTAGTATGCACCACGAATAAAAACACAAAACACTTGGAGATACCATACTGGGGCCGTCATCCTGCAGCGGATTATTAAGTTGTCATTATAGCGTAAAGAAATTACATTTTCTAATGAATTACAAATTCAGAAAATGTTGACTGGTGATCGATTAAGATAAAGCATATTGAACAGCGGCTCTAAATGACAATAATATTATTATTATATGTTATAAACCATTTCAATGTGAGTTTGCGTCAGGAAAATAGCACTGGAGTGAAAATAGTATTTGCAGCACCCGCTGCTACTTAGGGATCAGATACTAAGCGCAAGATCGG